TTTGGTCTTTTTCCGTGTCCGGCAACGGATCGCAACCCTCAGTGTCGCCCCCGTACCGGACCAGGACCGGCAACGGGATCGCAACCCTCAGTGTCGCCCCCGTACCGAACCGGGGACCGGCAACGGGATTGCAAACCTCGGTGTAGCCCCCGCGCCTCGCTCAGCCAGTGAGCGGGAACCGGTCTGTATGTGGGATCCGAACCCTCGGCGGGAGCGCCGCCGCACTTCCCAAGCGGCGCACTAGCGCAGTGCGCCACCGGGCCGGCCCCCAAATTTGGAAAAATTTTGATTACATTTTATTATAGAATGTTCATGAAATTTATTTTATATGTTTGGTCATGGGGTGAATTTGAGATCCCAGTGTGGTGTACAGATAATGTTCATCAGATTATGGAAAATGTAGAACTGGTGCTGAGGAGAGATACTGGAGTGAAAGATAAAATTTTATGAAAAAGAAAGTAGTTGAAACATGGAATCATGAGGTCGGAGGTTAGAACCTTACACACCAAGGGGCAGAATTAACCCACATTCACTCATTCATGTGAATTCTGCTTTTGTACATCTTTATCTTCTCAGCTAGAGTCTGTATTTTGAAAGCAAAGAATATCTCGCATTTGAACACTAGATAGGTAGCTGTTAATTACTCGTTTCAGTCTTATTACTTATTTTTGTGGAAAATGGACTGTGTGGGTGTTTAGCAAACTGTTACATTTTTCTAAATATTCTTTACCTTTTTTTGTGTTGACTTTTAGCACGACCACATGATTTCTTCGATGCACAAACACTGGATGCGATAAGACATCGAGCCATATGCTTTAACCTCTCAGCTCATATAGAAAGTTTAGGGAAGGGACACAGTGTTGTTTTTCATAGTACTGTAAGTATTCTTTTTTTTATTTCCTCCAAATCATATATATTGGTTTGCAAAAGATATATTTTGACTTTCACAATTATAATTTCAGATTGCTCAAAATCTAAGAGAATACATTTTAGCAAAAGCCTCAAAACATTCTGCTTTATCAGTATTTTAAAAATTACTTGTATTTTTTTTTCTTCTCCTTTTTGTCTTTTTCGTGTCCAGCAATGGATCGCAACCCTCAGTGTCGCGCCCGTACCGGACCGGGACCGGCAACGGGATCGCAACCCTCGGTGTTGCGACCGCACCTCGCTCAGCCAGTGAGCGGGAACCGGTCTGTATGTGGGATCCGAACCCTCGGCGGGAGCGCCGCCACGCTCCCAAGAGGCGCACTGTAGCAGTGCGCCACCAGGCCGGCCCAAAAACTACTTGTATTTTTTATGAAGCAGATAATTCCCATAATTCTACGTGTTTACAGTTAAGATGAGTATTTTAGCCTTTAGTTTGAGCTATTTAAGAATATTGGGGTAGCGCATTGTACATTGCTACTAGATATTAGACTGGGTTCTGGGTAAAGTAGGTGTATTTTCTGCCTCTGGTTTCCTCATTTGTAAAATAAGAACACTAGACTGCTTTTAGCTCTAAAAAGTTTCATTCACATCCCTATGTGCTGCATGCACCTCCCTCACCCTCCAGCACACACATCCAAAGTTTGTGTTAAACACAAAATAAGATAACTTTGGCCATCAAATCAAAGCTTCATGAAGGAGGGGATTTTTAATCTGTTTTGTTCCACCGATATATCCCAGGTCCCTAGAATTGTGCCTTGCACATGGCAGGCATTCAATATATTTGTTGAATGACTATGTTGTCAACACAGAAGTAGAAAGTATCAAATTTGAATAAATAAACACAGAAGTAGAAAGTATCAAATTTGAATAAATAATTAAATACAGTTTATTTTTTAATTAACTAGGAGTTAATAGAGAGCTGTTCTTTTTTTTTTATTCCCCTGGCCGTTTTGTTATCCAGTCACTTTTAAACTGGTGTAGTTTGGTGTAGGTAAGTTTATAAAAGTAAACTGTAGACCAGACTCTCACTAATTTGAATCCCTGGAAAAGTAAGTATTTAACTTTGACTGTTGAAATATAAAATGTACTAAGTTTGGGTTACTTAAATATTTTAAACAAAATGCATGAAAATTTAAATATAAAATGTCATTGTTGATATCAGTATCTGGTTTGGTTTTAGTCTCTATTTTTCCTATTTCTTATAATAATGAGGTTTTCTTGCATTTTCACCTTTCTTCTGTATATACTTATTTCCCAATTATTTAGCTTTTCTGTTACTCCTACTTACTTTAATATTTATACTTACCTCCATTGTTCTTGCTGTTCCTTTTGATTTCTTACCTATTTTGCTCACTTTCTTTAGCTCTGTATATACCACCTATTATCTTTTTGCCTTTTTTTTTTTTTTTCAAATGTAAAAAGTAGCTGCCTGAACTTCCGTTATTACAATCTGCTGTGTTGGGTCTCCCTGCTGTGTTTTCATTTTAAAGATAAGGAAGTGTTTTAATAGTATGTTTTTGTGGATAGTCAAATTGGAATTGAATGGCAAAATATTATAGCTACTTACTGAAGAAGGTTGCAGAAGGATCTGGTAGTGTTTCATTTTTGTTTGATATAGTCTCAGTCTAGGTTAGACTGGACTAACCTATAAATGTAAGAAATATAATATTACAAGATCCATTCAAGTTAAATGAGCCAAGAATGTAACCAATAATGGATTGTATTTATGGAATAAATTTAAATGGAGACCATATTGTCCAGCTGCCAAAAAAAAAATTAAATTGGAGGCATGCTTGACATAATGTTAGTTATTAAATGTATTATATAAATTAATTTGTGAGCATTTTTAGTCACCATACAGCCAGTGCTCCCTCTTAACTCAAATTTTTCAAATGATGAAACTAGGGACTTCAAAGGTGGTGTTGCTTTCTCTGTGTGACATAGTGTATGTTATCATTACATAGGGTTTATGGAACTCTATCCCTGGCCCTTTCGTGGATTCCTGGGTGAGAACTCTTGTGTTATTTGGACTGAAATGTGTGGCATTAAAAGGAAAGTAGAAAATAGAGCAGTAGTTAGGTGTCAGTAAATTCAAGGCCAGTTTTAAAACATTTAGAGGAGAACTTTGGATATTGGTAATTAGCTAAGGATATGAGAGAGAGAGTGAAGAACTGAAGATGTGGAATTGAAGGCAAGAAAGTAGGAAGAGGAAAGGGAACCTTTTCGTGAGATGCATGAGTTTGAGTTTGAGGAAAGGCATATCATATTTACTCTCTTTTAAAAAACATAGGAAATGCAGTTATCTAAACAAGGAAAGAGTTGGAGGGGAAAAATTTATAGGGTTTGTAGACCAGAAAGAGTTAAAATAGCTGCTCTGGAAATTTTGTTGGGACTCAGCAAGAGCAGGGGTCTGCTTAGCAGTGATTCTTGAAGTCCTTCTTTGAAGTTTGAGAACACACGTTTATGATGTCAATTGTTCTTTTTTTAAAAAGGTCAGTAAGATGTGGTCACCAGACCCATAGTGTGGCATTAGGGCAAATTTGTTCATTCACTGAAATTTTGAGCACCTGTTGTGAGCTAGGTACTAATGATACAGCAGTGAACAAAACAGATTAAAATAAAATGAAAAAGCTATGCTTGTACTCTAGTAGAAGAGACATGCTGAACAAGATAAATTTGTAAAATTGCAAAAACTTGAAGTGAGGATATGAGCCATTCAGTTATTAGGGGGATGAGCATTTTAGCCAGAGAGAAAGTCAAGTATAGTTTCCTGAGGTGGGAATGTGCCAGGTATATTTGAAAAACAGTGAGGAGGCTAGTGCAGCTGGAAGGAATAAGTGAGGAAGAGAGAGTAATTGAGGGAGAACCTTGCTAGACTAAGACCTTGGCTTTTATTTTGTGTGATGGGAAGCCATTGAAGGATTTTTGAGTAGGCATGCTCTGATTTAGTATTTTAAATATAATAAACTGCATCCACTTAAAGCATACAATACTATGAGTTTTGACAGTTGTACTCACCTTTGAAAGCACCACCACAGTTAAGATAGAGGAGATTCCCATCACTCTCAAGTTTCCTGGTGTAGCTTTGCAAGTACAGCTCTTCCTCCACCTCCTGCCCTAGAGAACCTGCTGTTGTTTTTTTTTATGTGTAGATTTTAACATGCTCACTTTGGTTTCTGTGTTGAGAACACATTCTTAACAAGGGTGGGGATAGCTTTGCAAGTACAGCTCTTCCTCCACCTCCTGCCCTAGAGAACCTGCTGTTGTTTTTTTCATGTGTAGATTTTAACATGCTCACTTTGGTTTCTGTGTTGAGAACACATTCTTAACAAGGGTGGGGAGAAAAGGGAATCTATCTTTTCAGTATTTCAGGTGAGAATGATAGTAGCTTGGACCAGAATGGTTGCAGTAGAGATGGTAAGGATTAGATTCACGCTGTCTTTTAAAGTTAGTACTGATGAGAATTATGGATGGATCAGATGCTGGGTTTGAGAATAAGAGGAAAGGATGGCTCCAAGGCTTTTTGGTCTTCGCAACTGGCTAAAATGATGGAATTGCTATTTAATGGAGGCTGTTGAAGCAGATTGGGGGAAAGAGGAATACCAAGAGCTCTAATATGGACATGTGTTAAGGCCTGTAGAGCATGTAGTGGCTCTGTCCCGTAGGCAGGTGGATGTAAGAGTTTAGAGTTCAGAGGAGAGGTGTGGCTACAGATAAAAATATGGGAATTTTTAGCATATCAGTGGTATTATTTATAGGTATCAGATTAGATAAGATCACCTAGGGACTAACTTAAGTGTGAATAGAAAAGAGAAAAGAGAAAGAAGTCTAAGGACTGAGGTTTGAAGCTTACCAAACATTTAGTAATTTAAAGGGCAATAGATCTGATGAAATGGTGGTCTAGTAATGACCCAGTATCTCTACATGTAAGGGAATAGTGGTGATGATGATATATAACGTTATCACTTAAAAAGTGGCGCTCCAGCTTGCATATGCTTTCATTAGAGCAGCTCCTTTTAATGAAATCCTCAGGCTCAGTAAGGGAAAATCGTATATCTCCGAATAACGTATGCTATGCGAAGTTATTACGTGCTGGTAGTGTGCCCGATTGTGGGT